TTTTATTTACAAATAGTTATTTGAATTTTATTTGAATAGTTATAAAAATTTATAAATCAAAGTTTAAGATATAAAAATATTAGATAATAATATCAATATACTAGGTAAACAGCAATTTGTTTTAACAATATTTAAACTGTGAGGAGTTTGTGATTTATGTGTGATTAAAAATTTATTTATTTTTAAGTTAAACATTAAATGATATTATTTAGTTCATTAACTAAAAACTTGTCAAATAAGTAAACTCTTTAACAATTGATTTTTTTTAATAACCTCATTAAATTTTAAAGATTGAACATAAATTGTGAACATCGTTCAGAAAGTAATGTTAAAGATAGAAAAGTTCAATTCAATACAAGGTAAGGTAGAAATATTTTTATATACTGGTAACATAAGTTTTAGGCGAAGTAAGTTTAACTATTTTTTTATTATGTCATTTCGAATTTTTGCCTTGTTTATTTATATTGTATACTTTATATATACAATAATAATTTTAACTATGATCACAATCAATGGCGGATTGAGGTTTAGTGTCACAGGGGGGCCAAGTCAATGAATAGGGGTCGACCGGGGTTGGGTGTGGTATTTTAAACCCCAGAAATTATTTTCATGACTAAAACACTTTATAAGTATTTTTATGTGACTTTTATTATGCATATTACATACATATAAGACACTAATTTTTTTTGAGTTTCTTTTATTTATTTTAGTTAACAATTATCTTTTAAAAAATAAGAATTATTTAATATTATTGAAATAGTTCGGTCATTTAAAAATGTATTTAACTAGACATATTATAAAAGTTAGCATTTTGGAAAAAAATTCACTTTACAGGTAATTTACACAAATTCTGCAAGATTTGATTAAAGCAAAACGATTTATCGACAAGTTAAAGTAAATTTTTTCAGTGAGCTCACATTCAATAGAAATTAATGCTGATCAAGAAAGACGTTCGTTTGTCATTGTTGATCTAAAATAATTTTTGTAATCTTTAGTTTACTGAAACTTTTTTCAGCATTAGCAGATGTAACAAAAGATCAAGTAGATTTTATATAGTATAGACAAGTTAGAGAGACCGGGTGCTATCTGTCTCTCAATCAAGAACTAAAGTACATCTTTCAATTGTATGTCAGTTGTAAGTGATGGGAATATTGATGCATACATATCATTGAAAGTCTCATACTCTACAACTGCTTCTTTAGTATTTACGTCATTTCAATAAATTTGACAAGAAAATATAAATGAATTTATATTTTCTTCAAATAATTTTGACGGTTCAAGGCAATCAAAATTTGTAACTGTGTTACTAAAGTTGTGAAATCGTTTATTTATTTGGGTTATAATTGTATCCAAAACACAAAACATTGAAGTAGGTTTCACATTTTAGGCATATAGTTAGATCATCAACTCCTTTCATCTTTTCACAGCTCTCCTGTCATGTGTTTCTTTTTGACTGGATGTTGGGCTAACTGAATTTAAAGAAAGACAAGTTTTCTTTAAATTCAGTTTCTACACTTAGTTCGGCACATTTTTCACTAATAAATGATTTGACTGCTAAATGTAGAACTTTAAAAGCTTCATCGTTTCACAGATATACAAACTTTTTTTTTGTAACATCAATCAACTGTTTTGCAAATAAAACATCTATATCTTCTTGTTGCAAATAGTTACATAACACAAAAAGATTAATTAACAACTTTGACAAAAATAACATTAGAAAAACAAATGAATGTTTTTTTTTGGTTAAAACTGGTAGTCCAATAACTTCTGCTCTAACATTTCCTGAATGTTCTTTAGATTCTCCTAGAATTATATCTTCTAGAGTGGCTAGAATAGCTGAAAAAGATTCAACATCAGCATTAACTGCATGTTTCGTACTTGCTCATCTTGTATCAGAAAGTCATTTCAGAGAATCTACTGTTAATTCATATAGACGTTTATGGTGCTCTTTTGGAGAATACAAAGTCGTGGTAAACTAGCTGTCAGGTACTTGTACAATTTTTCAGCAGTGCCTAAAAACATCTGAACATCGCTATTTACAGACATTGCTTCGATGGTCACCAAATTTAAAACATGAGCATGTCAATGAACATAGATGGTATTCGGTGAAAGCGCTTTTATTCAAGTCTGAAGACCACTTTTAATTCCAAAAATTACATAAGCACCATCATATGCCTGTCCTCAGCAGTTTAATATTAATATATAAGAGTTTAATATATAAGAGTTTAATATCAATGTTTCTCTTTTTAGAGTTTAATATCAATGTTTCAAAAGGAAATATTTTAAAACCTCTGTTTTAAAATAATTCCTCTCTTTCTCTTTCCGCTTGTACTTACTTTTATTCTTTCCATTTTGTTTTTTTATTGGTAATTTGAACAATGTTTTTTTTGTGTAAATGTTTTAGGGGGCGCCGTTTAATCAATCTAGGGGCCGTATTATTTATTACTATTATTATTATTATTATTTTTTTTTTAACACATTCGCTAATTTATTCACTTAAAGTTACAATAAATAAATAAAATAAAACAAACAAGCTGTGATACACATTACAGTGTATAAAGTCTAACAACAGTAGATGTCAGACTATAACAACTTTCACAGTTTTTTATGGAATTTTCATAATGGGTTTTGAATGTATTTAAGTTTGGGGCCATCCATAAAGTACGTACGCATGTATGGGGGGAGGGGGGTTATCCTGAAACGTACGAATGCATACAGGGGGGGGGGGGAGGGTGTTAACGACAGCGAGTACGTACGCGGTTTAACTATCTCTCCTAAACTTCTTTATAAAAACATTGAATTTCACGTGTTTTAATGTTTTTTTATAAAAACATTGAATTTCACGTTAAAAAATCATAATATAATATATGTTATTTTTTTTTCTGACTTCAATTACAATTGTTTTTTATTTTTCTTTATAAGTAACGAGGAGAGAAAAAATCGAGCTATAATATCTCCAAATAATGTTTTCCATTTTTTGCAACATAATTCGACTGTAGCAAGATGAAAAGTAACAAAACTGTAATCAAAGAAAACTTCTTCTGAATTCTTTTTTTAATTACGAACCTGGTTTTTCCCATTTCTCTTAAAAGGCTAATATTTTGTTTTTAAAAAACAATAAAATAAAAAAAGGTAATATTATTATTTTTTTTATCATTAAAGTTAATATTAACATACATTAAGATTGCTAAGGACAGGCGAAGCAAAATGAACATACATGTGACAATGCATATGACAATCATTGTGATAATTGTAAAAAATAGTTACTTTAAATGTTGATGGAAACCAACACTTTTTATGATGGAATGTAACGGCAATTATCTTGAGTAAACTAAAACAAAAAAAAACTTTTATGATTCTATTCGAAAACTCAATACACCTCATTGGAAAAAAAACTTATTATTTATTATGACCAAGATGCCGCGCGGGAACGAGAAAAAATACCTTCAATTCCTTGAGTTATATAAAAAAGCATATTCAACACTTGAAAAACAAAAGCAGTAACAGCAAGCACAAGAGTTGTGGAAAATAGTAAAAAACAATGAATCCTTGTATGAAAAAAAAATAAATGAGTTAAAAGAGAAAGTAACAAAGTGGAAAGTATCACTTATGTCATTCTGGGGAAATACCATTTCACCACCTAGCAAAAAGAAAAAAGATATCCATCCAGCGCCGTCTTCGTCAAATGAAACACGAAGTTTCCTAAATGCAACTACGACAGAGCCTGCAAGGATTGAAATTAGTAAGCTAATTTCTGTAATATTTTAAAAACTTTTTCTCTCTTGTGATTTTCTATACATTAGGCCGGGTGAATAAAAAAGAGCAATTGCTTTTTCTCAGTAACTGTTCAGCTTTGCGTGAATAAAAATTTGACCAAGATTGCTCAAATTTTTATTCACGTAAAGCTGAACAATTTACTCCAACAACGCTCAACTTTACGTAAATAGAAATTTGAGGATAATTGCTCAATTTTTTATTCACGTAAAACTGAACAATTACTTAGTAAAAGCAATTGCTCTTTTTTATTCACCCGGCCTACTGAGTTTAACCGTATTGTAAATCAAACTACATCGTACGACCTTAGAGCAGTCACAGAAATTTATAATGTTGACCACTAGACCTATTTTTCTATATCCAAAATAAATTGATTAGTAGTAATTGTCAAGAATTTATAATAGCTTATTTTTTGGCATTTTTTAATTTAGATTTAACAGACAACAAAAAAGAAAGAGAAAATCCGGCACAAGTTAGGAGTCGAAAGAAAATCTCAGATCTTGAATCACAACGTGCATCCTTGATAGTCGTACGTGATTCTGGTTTATCTACCGTAACAAAGAAACAAATAAACACTGCGAAAGAAACCATAAGAAAAGAAAAAACAAAATTGGACAGGTAAGATAATTTAGTTATGTATTTCTTTATTTGATATTTCATTTTAGAATGCTTAACTGTCAGGTTTCTAGTAAATATCAAGAGATATATGTTAAATAATACAGAGTTTATTTATGCGTATAGAAAAGCGTCTTGGCTATAAAAACCAAACATTTTCAAAGACAGAAACTTTCATAATC